CACTCACTTATATATAGTTAGTATTATTTTAGTCAATGTAAGACTTTATGATCAAAATAAATTATTTTTTCTTTACTAAAAGATAAAATTGTTCAATAATAAAAATACAAAAGAAGTCATCACATTGCATATTCTGTCTATCTAATGACATAAATATATGAATTTTATTTTAATTTTGGATTTCTTTACCAACTTTGCTGATAAAAAAGTTAAATATAAAAACGTATGAAACAGTTTTAAAGAAAAAAAATGCAAACCATATCAAATCAATTTATGGGATTTGGATTATACGATTTTTAATTATAATTGTATTTTTTATTAAATATTTGTTTTTTTTTTCAACTTTTAAATTAAAAATTATAAAAATATAACTGGTTGGATTCTTAGTTTAATATTAATCTTCTATGTGAATATTATATGTTAAAGATATTTTGCTATGTCAAATAAAAAGTTAGAAAAATGATATTGAAGTATTTGAAAGATTACAATACATGGTTAAAGAATAATTATGTTTTCTATTAGGTTATTAAAAACACTAATCAAGAATTTCAAATTTATATTAGTAGATTAAGTCATCATATCACATTATTTTATTCCTATTTCATTATAATTGGGTCAAACCGTTTTTCTCTCTAATAATTATGAATTTAAGTTAGATGTGAAATGTTTATGGAGACCAAAATCATTTGCTCACATATTTGAGGTTAAATAAGTTTGAGACAATAAGATATACTAACTCCAATTTTGCTAGATGCAAAAATAGTATGAAATCCACATTGGTTATGTATTTTTAGAGATGTTATATTATGAAATTCTTATTTGTTAAAGAAAGTGTTCAAAGTAAACAAAATATATAACACACTTCATAGTTAATATTAATTTGTTAAAGGACTAATCTCAAAAGGTTTAATGAACATACTATTCATATATGATATGAGTATTATCTCTTCAAATTCTTATTTTTAATGAACATATTAATTTGTTAAGTATATTTTTTGCAAAAAATAAAATTTTTATATATTTAAATTTTGATTTTGTTATAATTTGATACTTTGACTAAGACATAATGGAATTAGACATGTGAAGATTAATTACATGAAAATTTTATTCTACGCATCCAATATATTTATATTATATTTTCCTCCTTTTTCCAGAGAAAAAAATAAATTTAAAAACTAAAATAGAAAGCGAATATTTGAAAAAGCTAAAAAAGAAGATTTTATTATGTACTGCCTTTCCTACACAAGTGTTCACAAAAATATGGTTTTGGTCTGAAAATAAGGATAAAGTGTCTTGTAAAGTTCAAAACTATGTGCGGGTCAACAATAATGCGTTTAATACATATCCAGTGAATATAACATAAAATTAAAACACATCTATTCTTATTAGGAGTTAAAAGAAAAGACACTGTATTTAATTATTCTTAATTCTGATTTCATCTTTTAAATCCAACTATAATTGAAAAGACACATTTTGCATTATTCCAAGACAAACCTGCAATTGTTTACCAGTTTTTTCCTTGGAACTTGCCGAACATGTACCTATAGGTCTGTCTCACTCGTTGTTTTCAGTTTTTATTTCTTTATATTAACTTTTGCGAATGCCCCAACAAATACAACTACATGCATTTCTTAAAAGTTAATTTCTGCAAATTTCATTTTTTTAATTTAAATGGCAAATGGGTAGTGTTACGTTACTGCATTAAGGAACAGAAAAAAGACGAATCTTGGTTATTTTTCTTGTGAATTTATCAAAAAGCAAATCAGGTCAGAGGAAATAAGAGAATCGTCTCGTTCTTTTATGGCTGAATCATGTGAGAGTGTGGATCAACAAACTTTAAAGAGGAATGAATATAAATAATAAAAGAACAAGAATCAGATACTGATACTCATACTTTTACGAAAAAGAATCACCATTCATACATACATAGTTGTCATCTCAGAACGTAGGTAGCAGTCAGCAATCAGCAGCCATCAACCATCACCACGTGCAAAAATCAAGAGAATTATTTTGGCATTTTTAATTGCAGTCAAATTTTGGCTTCATCACGCAAAGAACACAAATTTACTGCTATGATATCCTATACTGTCCTTTCAGTCTTCAGCATCAGAGAAATAAACCAAAAGGAACAATTTTTTTTTAAGTTTTGCTTACCCACCATGGATTTTTCCTTTTTTTTTTTCAGATTTTAGCTTTAACATAGTTTGGTCAACAACTAATTGTGATAAGCATGCATCTGTCGTTGTCAACATGTTCTTGGTAATGTATTATGTCCTTTGTTGTCATCTTAACTTCAAAGGGTGTTGTTTTTTGTTTGGACCAGTTACAATTTAATTATCATACCAAGTATGCTATAGCTAATGGTAATAATTAACCCTTAAGCTTGGTTATATACCCATATTTTTCCCGCTTCATTATTGAAAGACCAAGCAGAATCAATCATGTTTATCCTGTTCCTGAAGTCTTTCTTTTATATATATATATCTGGTTTTGCTGTTTTGATGCTTATGCATTATTAGGAGGTGATTAAGTCAATGTCTCTTTAGCAACCTTTCGATTTTACCTTTAAGTCATCACAGTAATAGTAACAGATATGTTTACAGAATTCACAAAAAATGAGTAAAGACTACTCAAAATCAAAGCATTTGTTGTATAAATGAATCTGGTATTGCATAAACAGTTTTGGTGTCTGAATTTTTATCAAGAGAACTACATAACTGATCTCATTCCCAGGAGAAACGGAAAAGAAAAAGGGAAAAACTTGCAAAGACAGACAGATGGGATGGTGAGATTAACGGCTGGATGGAGATAACTTGATTCTGCATACTGCAACAACCTGCACCACACCTAAACGAGAGAATTTGAGGACCAAAAGTGGGTGATGGTGTGGTCCTCCGAACATGTTCAATATAATAATGATATGCTCTTAAAAGAAAAGTCTTTGTTAGATTTATTTTTTCACTGTGATTTACTTCTATCATTCCTACATTATAAGCATCGAAAGGGACTCACGTTTCCTCTATCTTATAATTTCCTTTCAAACTGTCCGCCACTGTCAAATCCTGCTATCTGTGCATTACAACTTTTCCACCCCACTATCACTACCACATCTCCATCTCATCATGCATGCATCCAATCTCCGTCTCCCTTTTTAGTTTCCCTTAAACTCAACAACCCTTCACGAATTTTACGTCTGTTTACAACCCAATTCAGAGACGTTATAGTACACGGCATTGACTATCATAAACAATAAGAGAGAGATGAGATGGCTGGCTATTACACATTAGAAAAATAGGTACAAGTAGCTTCACATGGGGACACAGTTAATGCACACACCGTGTTTTAATCTTGACCGATGAGGCTTATAATTACAATGCCAAGATGAGAAAAGTTACCACATTTCACTTCAAAACTCAAGAACTACGCTTCTGTAAAAATCGCTTGTTAATTTGCATTTGCAGAGAAAAAGAGATTAGCAAGGAATCTTGACTCTTCAAACCATACAAAACTAGATATGTCCGGAGCATCATAGGGTAACGTACATCATTTCTCCTACTTTTGGACAGTAGGGAAATTTTTAATTGGCAAATGCTTAGTTGTTCGAGTATATTATATTATTCCAACAGGGCCAAATGAGGGAACAATAGTGTGCACGTTTCATTCATTCATTCATGTTACAGTTATTATTGATTATTCATGTCATAAATTTTGTTACATGACATCGGTCAATTGCCAGACCCAATGCATCGGGCAAAGATTTATCTTTGAACTACTCTCTCAAATTCACCCGAGGAACATTTATGTTAGAGACGCTTCAAAAGAATTTATAAATCAACAAGTGCAAAACAGAACCATCTAGAAAGACTTGACGCTCCTTTGAGTTTCTTCAAAACTGTCGTTTTCTGGAGATGTAAAGCAAGGTAGCTAAAGTTGAATGTAGAATACACGAAAAGAATTAATGGGGAAATCACCATTTTCCCCTGGTTACTGTTTTCTAGCTTTTTTTTTTGTTTTTGTTTTTGTTTCCCTCTAGAGTTTTTGGTACCACGAATTAGCTGCAAAAGCAGCAACGTGCACTTCATGCTGGTGTTGACAACATCACATGTTAATCTCATCATTGAGAAATCACATGGCCGAGGAAATTCTTAAGGAAAGAGAAAGAAAAGAAAAAGAAAAAAAAGCATTAAGAGGTGATGTGAAGCAAGTGGTGATGAAGTTGTACTCTTCTCATTGCAACTTCTCATTCTGTCTCCTTCTTCCCACTTACTGTCCACCCCACTGGAATCAACTTATTCAGACAATTTGATTTCTGTAATTGTATAATTGCGGATATACGGTATATGAGAAATTAAAGGAATGTATGATAGTTGTAATGCAATGGAGTTAATTTGATTTGTATAGCAGCCCCCACGAACACGTGGAGGTGTAGCAAATTAAGCCAAATTTGGATTATTCTTGAGCAGAAAGTGCCAAAAGCTGGAGTTCGAAATGTACAGAAAAAAAATAGTATTGAAAAGTCAAAATATCTTGACCCTCGAACGAAAGACGATTGGATGGAAATCTTGCAACGATGGACACTTATGGATCCCTTCCCCGGAAAACAGTAGGAAGAAAAATGAGTAAAGAGAAAGAGATAAAATGAATAAAGCATTTTGGAGTTACTTTATCGTCAAGATAGGCAACTGGGCGGGGAGGGAAATGTAAAAGAATAGGACATTATTTGGGGTAACAAGTGTTGGATACTATTGTGGAACGTACAAGATTATTTTAATCGGTAGTTGGAGAATGGAATAGAGGATTATAAGGTTATGGTCATTTGGAGGAAAACAAAATAAGCAAGAGTTTACGAAAGTGTGCTAAAAGAAAGTCACAAGGCCAGCTGGGGAAGCCTAATTTAAAGCATTTAAATCAAAACGAAAGGCATTTAATAGTTTGAATTGGTCCCTCATGACAGCTCCCCTTTAACGACTCACTTTCACTATAAGTAGTTAGTATTTGGTGCAGCTTTTGTCAGTCATCACTAACATCAAAAAACAGCTTCTATCCTTCCCACTTCCTCCGCCAAATTCAGTGAGGATCTGAGAAGAAGCATTGGGCAGAGGAACTCAGCTTTTTCCTTCTACGCATGACTGCAAGGGGCAGAGACCCCATAAGGGGTCTTCTCTGGCCACAAATGGCCCTCGCATTTGCCATTGCTCTCCTTTCTATCACTGTGGTTTCCGTCAATGCTGATGGTTACCCTTACTATTCTCCTCCACCACCTTCTCCTTCACCACCACCTCCTTACGTTTACAAGTCTCCTCCTCCACCACCGTATGAGCACAAGGCTCCACCATATTATTACAAGTCTCCACCACCTCCTTCCCCCTCTCCTCCACCTCCTTACTACTACAAGTCTCCTCCACCACCCTCTCCCTCACCTCCTCCTCCCTATTACTACAAGTCTCCTCCACCACCCTCTCCTTCACCTCCTCCTCCCTACTACTACAAGTCCCCACCACCTCCTTCCCCATCTCCTCCTCCTCCTTACTACTACAAGTCTCCTCCACCCCCATC